GATTCAAATGAATCACAAGAGCAAGGCCAATCAACTCCACTTCAATGATCTACTGTCGTTTCTTCACAACGAGCTCGTAAGAGGTTCTTTCAGCTCATACACTTGAGATCGAGGCCCGAGGACGTGAACAAAGAAGAACAAACACGATTGTTAACCGGACTAGGCCTACCATCAACATCGACATAGAAGAAAGTTCTGATGAATAAAGCTCCGAGAAAGAAATGATGATAAAATAGAAGAAACCTTAGTACGATATTTCCTTGGAAGATGTAGAGAAAAGTGAATACGAGTCGATGTACGATCAGATCAACAACTATGTGAATTTCATGACACTTACTCTAATCTACCCTCAAAAGGTTGGGAGTTTAGAGGTCAAGGAAGTCTGTAGCATTAGTTCAATGCTGATCCAGTTTTACCGTGCTTCCCCTTCTACTAGTTCTAAAAATTATGTAAATTTGGAAGAAGATTCTAATGAATTAATAAAATTACCTTTTGGTTACTTTTCTACTTGTGTATAAAAGTTAATTCAATAGGGATATGTGTCAAAGCAAATGCCAAAGGATATGATACAACTTTTTGAGAAATTGTTGAATGTTAAAAGTCGAACACCTAACTCGAAAGAATGTCTCGAATTTGGTACTGTAGGACCAGTCGATGATACAAAATTTTGCATGGTTATTACTAACGGATTGGAAAAGAATTGCCACGATATAGAGGTTGATTCCGAATAACAGTTGATAGATGATGCCCCAGTAGAATTTGAATAAGAGATTAAATCAACGTTAGATGAACTGAAAGAAAACCTCAGGACTGAGGAACAGCCCCAACCCACCTTTATAAGTTTTTACTCAACAAAATAGAATCCGCATAGTTGATAAAATTACTGTCAAAATTTAAAGATTGCTTCGCTTGGAGCTATGATAAAATGTCAGAGCTGGCAATAGAAGTTTCTTTATAAGTTTGGAGTGGACAAATATATGGACCCATGTAAATCAAGCTCCTAGAAGGATGCACCTCGAGATAGAGCAAAAAGTCATTCCTGAGGTAAAGAAGTTAATAGACGCTAAGTTTGTAAGAGAAGAACAATACCCGCCATGATTAGCCAACATTGTACCAATTAAAAAGAAAAATGAACAAATTCATGTTTGTGTTGACTTCAGGGATTTAAATAGGGATTTAAATAAAGCGCGTGTCCAAAAGATGAGTTTTCACTACCAATACCAGAATTGATGGTGGACATCTCTTTGACACTTGAGATTTTCTCCTTCATGGATGAATCATCAGAATATAATCAAAGCAAGATGGCTCCATATGATGATCACTTACAACATTCAGGACACCGATTGGGATTTTCTGCTACACAATAATGTCATTCGGATTGAAGAATGTCGGAGCAACATACCAATGAGCAATGACGAAGATTTTTGATGACCTTATTCATAACTAAGTGGAATGCTATGTGGATGATTTGGTCATCAAAAGTAAATAAAAAATAGACCATTTGTACAAATTAAGGATTGTGTTTGAACAATTATGAAAATATAATCTCAAGATGAATCCCTTAAAGTGAGCCTTTGGTGCGTCACCTCAGGGAAATTTCTAAGATTCGTTGTTCATCATCAAGGAATCGAGATCGACCCAAATAAGATTAAAGCTAGCTTGGAAATGGCTCCCCCCAAAAATTTGAAACAACTATGTTCCTTCCAAGGAAAATTGGCATATCTGAGACACTTTGTTTCTAATCTCTAACGTAGGTGTCAGCCCTTCTCGGCATTAATTAAAAAGGACGTCAAATTCATTTGGGAAGAGTAATGTCAGCAGACCTTTAAGGATGTTAAATAATATTTAATGACACCTCCTGTTTTGACAACCACTATCCCGGGAAAACTGTTGATACTTTACGCCACGACCTAAGATGACTCTCTCGGAGACCTGTTAGCTTAGCTCAATGAAGAGGGTAAGGAAAATGCACTCTGCTACTTGAGTCATCGTCTAATACTGATGGAGGTAAAATATCCACTTACCACTTATTGAGAAGCATTGAGCATTGTCTAGTTTTAATTTTCACCACCCAAAAGCTTAGGCATTACATGCTTTCTCATAAAATTACTCTTATTTCGAAAGTTAATCCATTGCAATATTTGATGACCCGACCAACACATTCCGGATCTTTAGCAAGTTGGTCGATGATTTTATTATAATTCGATATAACTTTTGTTCCTCTTCACGCTATCAAGGGACATATCTTAGCAGATTTTCTCACAGTACACCCACCTCCAACTGGGTCCCCTCTCAATGATGAGCTGTCAGATGAACAAATACTGCAAATAGAGCTATCCAGTGCTAGAAATTGGGAAATATACTTCGATGGGTCTTCATCAGCCAGAAAGGTCAAAAGATCAGAGGTAGTTATACCAGGCAAAACAAGAATAGGTCCGATTTTCATCACACCAGATCAGGGTATGTTGAGGTTCTCCTACCACCTGACAAAGCTGTGTACAAATAACGAGGTAGAATATGAAGCATTGATCACCAGATTGGAATTGGCAATCTCAATGGATATAACAGATATTGTCATCTATGGCGACTCACAACTCTTCATCCAACAAGTTTTCAGATAGTATAAGATTTTGAAACCAATGTTAGTAGAATACCATCAGTACACGATGAAGTTGCTGGAACAGATTCCCAATGTGACCCTATTTCGGATTCCTCGGGTAGATAACGCCCATGTCGAAGCTTTAGCAAAATTTGCTAAGAAATTGACGTGTCCATCAGAGGATTTCATCGACATTATAGTATAAGGACATCAGGTTTTATCTCGAATCGACCTTGACAATCTACACAAGCTCGGAAGAAAAGAAGGATTGATGATTGTTGTTGCTGACGTCAATGAAGATTGGTGTAAGTCATTGATAGAATATTTGCAAACTAGAAAATTGCCAAAATACAAGTCTGAAGCATATCACATCACAAGAAGAGCTATGCCATATGCTCTAGTGGGTGATGTCCTCTACAGAAGATCATTCGATCTGGTTGAGATGTCTGAACAGAGCAGAAGCATCGAATATCGTTAAAGAAGTACATGTCGGATTGTGTGGAGCTCACCAGTCAGGGCTGAAGGTGAAAATGAATATTAAAACTCAAAATTATTGGCCAGCAATGATATTTGATTGTATGGATACTGCCAGAAGGTGTCACCTTTGTCAAGTACATGGGATGGTCTTACACCAACCTCCAAATGTGCTACATTCGACCGTTGTCTCGTGAAAAATCGAGTATTGGGGCACAGACATAATAGATCCAATAGACCCTCCATCCTCTAAGGGACAAATTTATTCTTACCGCTACAGATTACTTTTCTAAGGGGGCAGAGGTAGTGCCGTTACGAGAAGTTACAACATAACATGTTCTCCAATTTTTCAATAGTCAAATTGGCTACCGCTTCGGTGTGTCGTGCAGAGTGATTTCCAACAATGAAACAACCTTCAAGAGCATAAAGATCAACAACTTCAACAAATAACATAGAATAGACAGGAGATATTCTACAATTTACTATCACAGAGCAAACGGACTAGCCGAGGACTTCAATAAGAAGCTCATGTAAATTTTAAAGAAGACATTGGACAAGAACAAAAGAGGATGGCATGATAAACTATTAGAAGTTCTATGAGCCTACAGGACAACGTTCAGAACTCCTACTCAATGTACACCCTATGCACTTGTGTACGGGTTTGAGGTCGTACTGCCGCTAGAAGTCCAAACATCGTCCCTGAGAGTCGGCATAGCCAATTAAATCACAACAGAAGAAAATGCAAAACTCAGAATTGAAGAATTGGAAAGTATCGAGGGGAAATGGTTAGAAGCACAATAGCATTTGAAACTTTACCAAGCAAGAATGGTGCAGGCTCATGAAAAATTGGTCCGCCCAAGGACATTCAAAGTTGCGGACCTCATTCTTGTTCTCAAAAGGCCTATTCTTGTACACCACAAAATAGTTGGAAATTTTAAGCCAACTTGGGAGTGATCATTTGTCATAAAGGCCTATGTAGGAGGATCTTACAGCTGGTGAATTTTAAGGGTAAAAGACCTATGTTGTCGATTATTGGCCGATAGTTGAAGATATACTACACGATATAACATTGCTTAAAATATATTTTTGAAAATATTTCTTATTTTGTGATTATTTATTTGGCCAAGCGTCTGTAACTGTGCTCAAACTTTTATAATTAAATTAATCTCAATAAAATGAAAATTTTTGAATTTCTCACTTTAATTTCCTCCTCTTGCTTTTAAATTTTAAAATCTCATTAAATTAAATTAAATTAAATAAATAAAATTTGCATCTGTATAAGTTGAGTTTTTTTTTTAATTAATATTTTGTTGTTCTCATTCGTGTTGAACTTCAGCGCACTGATGTTTTTCTTTCTACAGAAAAATGTCGAGACGAAAGTTGATTCATCTCCTACTACATAAATGAAAAGCAGTCCAGGACCATATCATAAACTCTTACTTTGACTTCGGTCAAGTCAACGTGAACTACGAGGGTCCTCTAATGGACATAATCAGTCGTCAGAAAAAAGAAAGATTACCATCACTACTAGGGATAAGAGAAAATTACGCTACTATTACAATTTTCTCATTTTACAATCCACGTCTTATAATAGATATCAACATCAAACAGGGCTATAAATCCAGCCACATTTTTAGTGTAGCTTCATTGCACACCCAGCTCCTAATCACGCTTCAAAAGAGTACGACAATACTGCTGAGAGATGCACTAAAAGATTAACAAATTCTCTAATCATACTACAAGCTCATTTATAAATATATTTTTCCATTAGAACCGTACTTCTACAGTTTACAAAAAATAGATGGTAGGCAATCCAATCCGTTAAAAGTAAACCGAGCAAGCAGACTCCCACCGTCCAAAAAAGAAATGAGTTCGAGCGCTTGTTCATTTTTACCAACCATTTTACGGTCATCTAACGCCAAACTCTGCCTGTAGCATTCCAAGCAGCAAAACAGAGATATACATACATACTATGAAGGATCTGAAATACTCACCTGGATGAAGATGCAGCAGCATGCATAAACTGTACAAAATCACCATTGTTGATCTGATAGATGGTTTCTCCATTAGGAACGAGCCAATGGAGATTCTGGTCGCAGAGATCTGAGTACTCACTACCCACAAAGCTACAGTACTGAAGAGCAGGTTGTTTACTGCTGCATCGTAGCTGAAGGCTGTTCTGAAGTATAGCAGAGGGTTCCTCATTGATGGTTGAAGTTAGAGAAGCAGCAGGATTTCTAATACTAAGCTGGCTATCATTGCTGACCTGGAGCTTTAGTTTCATTCTTTTAGCCTTGGCACCAATTGGCAGCTCCGAGTTGGCGATTGCCTCCAAATTGTATCTGCTAAACTCAAAATTGGTAACCGCATTAGCGCCCCTGAATTTGATTGCAGCAACATCATAGGCTTCAGCAGCCTCCTCCTCTGTGGCTGATGGATAGATTTGGCAGAGTAAGAAGATAGGAACATTGGAATTATTTTGGTCTGATGAGAAACAAGGATAATTGTTCATGTGTTGGCAAAATTTTGGAATTTATTCATGTTACTTCATCTACTATGCTGCAATAAAACTTTCTACGAAGCTACACTCTTTGGAATATTATCAGACGTTGTACTTAATTAGCCTTGTAAACAAAGATAATGCCTTAACAACAGCAGCACTGGTTTTTTTATCTCAGTAAAATAACATACCAAATGTTCCCAAGTAGAGATCTTTGTTGCCTGTCACTCGGCCTATCCTAGCCTGCCAACGACCATGCTGGTGATGCCTATTTGATTGCATGTTGGCATTATAATCAAGCAGAGTGAGAAATTGTATTAAATTAAACCAGCTCAAGAAATAGCCGAATAAAAAAAAAAAAGATTTAGCTCGAGTAACGAAGAAAGAGAACTGCAAAATCGAAGTTTGCAGCTTCTGCAACAAGATTACCTAGTTACACCTCTGTAGATAGAAGCCCCCCTAGAAAATCCACTGCTCTTCCTGGGAAGCAATGTAAGAAGTGTCAAACACAGGATTAATAAATCCCCATTACAAATGGTAAAGAAATCCTCACCTTCTTAAGGATGCAATGAATTCCGGCTTGGTCAAGCTTTGCATCTCCTCCATCTCTGTACAGTAGTTTTTCACCTACAAAAGGATATTTTCTTTTGTTCCATGAATTCATCATTCCAACAATTACATCTCCAGATATATCTGATTAAAATGTAGTAAGCCACGCGTGCATTTTAATTGGGTTTATGAAAATAAGCTAACATTCATCAACTTTAGCCTCATTTGATCTATTAAATAGTTACTACCATTTCACAAGCTTCTCATAAAGTTTTCTGAAAAATTGTTTTGTATAACCATGAATATAACCATGAAAATAAAATTAATAAATTAAAAAAAAAAAAACTCTACACTGTAGTGATTCAAACAAAAATAATAAGTGGCGTGACAAACTTGTACCGGAAAGTTAGTTGTTGCTGCTAGACCCCAATACTTCAAAGCAGCAAGATCATAGGTCCTGGCGGCTCTCTCTTCATTGTCATACCCACCTGCAAGGCATTCAATGCTAGTGTAATTCGCAGAATACTACAAAAAAAAAAGAGGCATTTACAGACATACCACTCAATTCTTATATACTTACATTTACATATCTAACCCTGAAATTTTAGTTTTTTACATACCATCTAAATCCTTCCTATCTAAGATACCACTATTTCTTAATGGTGAAATCATTTTTGATGCACAAGATGGCATATATGTAAAAATTAAATTTTAGGTTTTAGATATATAAATGCATAAGAATTGAGGGGTTGGCATGTAAATCTCCAAAAAATAAATGCGGCGAGGTTTAGCGGGTTACTCACCTAGATAAACTGCATGAGGAACATCAGGAAATTTGCATGTAACACAGCATGAACATAACACATCAGTAGCAGAAAAATTAGTTGCATAAATTCAAATCTTAACATTTATATTCTAAAAAACAGCAGATAAATGCCATTAAAACAGTTCACTTGGTGTCCCAGATTGCATTTTGCACGACACCAGAGATGAGTAGAATGAAAATTAGTGAATTTCAGTAAAAAATGAAGGAAACAAAAAAGAGAAGGGAGAGCACAAGAACACGTAACAGACAGCAGATGAAAGAAAGCCAGAGCAGGGACATAAACAGGCCGCTCATTAAAGTGAGTATCACAGATAAAAATTTAAATGCGATTTCTGTAAGATCGCATTTTGAACATTAATGCAAAACAGGAAATAGCACAAATAAAATAACACTACTGTATTACATTAATGGCTAAAAAATGGCACACAATACTACTCCCATTTGGTATTTATTCAATTCCTCTTCATGATGGAGAATGCTGGAGCTCTCAAATATATTAAGATTCATTAAGTATCTCAATCTAAAACTGTAAAAAGGCAAATAACATCAATCCCCTGGCCTAATTTTACGAAGATTTAATTTGTTTGACGACCAAAAAGGTCTTACCCCTTCAACACTAGGTCCTTAGGGTAAAAAGCCCAAAAATCTTTCCCCCACCTCCATCAGCAATACACGTGCATAGTTGTCTCTACAGCAGGTAACATGACATTTATCAGGACATGCACTTTTCTCCTTCCTATACATGATCTTTCCAAATAGGGCTTTTAACCGTGGAGCTTTGATCCTCAGCTTAAGTATTACAGTATCATTAGGCAAAGTAAAATACAAACATACATACATACATAGAGAGAGAGAGACCTAAATAGAAATACCTCTATTACTAAATTTTAAAATGTGAAATACACCATTTTTTTCATTCACACTCAAATCAACAGGTCTTGCCTAATTTCCATTATCCTTTCTAGCAACTTGATTAAAATCTTCCAACATAACTACTATCTATGGTTTTTTCGTCCCTGGTTGGTTCAATTCTCATGAAATTGCATTTTTAGTCCTAACTCTTGCAATTGGATCTTTAATAATTTGACAGAAGCATCATTTTATTCTCCACATAGTGGATCTCTTTCTTATCCTTGAACCCTCAGTTTTGAATGCGAGTTATGACATTGATCTACCGGACATAATATGGATCATCAAAAATAATATATGAAAACGCTTCAATTGTTAGTATTCTTTCATTAAAAGCTCAATATGATATTTTTATTGAAGAGAAGCAAAAGAGTACAATGTCATTAGATTCGGTATCAAACTTTTCAAAATTTCATCTTTATTAAATACAAAATAGTTGCATCAAAATATATGTACTCTAGAGTAATTCATAAGAGATCTTGTTTACTTTAGGCCAAATATTAACTCTATTTCTAACACAACAATTCATGTTTACAACTTCAGCCCAAAAATCTACTGGTAAGTTATATTCATTCAATATTGATCAGACGACTTCAATTTTTTTTCCTGCTAAAATTTGTGGACTTTTAGGTTTAGAAACGTTTTGTACATGTCTTGGCTCATTCCAAAATAATTTTAAATATATCATTCTTAAACTCTCCAACATGATTACTGTGAATTATAGAAATCAGATATCCTTCTTTCCTTAGGATTCAGACAGTAATGCTCTACAAGAAAATTCATCCAGATAAATTTTATGGAATTGTCTACTCTAATCAATTCATAAGATTCCTCTGATAGACTATATTTATGTGAATTATCCGATAGGTCAAGACAATAAAACTATCTTAATCAAATAAACTGAAATTCTGATTTGTTTTTCTAATTGACAAAGTCTCATTTGTAATAACCAAGATTTATATAACATAATGTTCAAACAATATTACTCATGACAACACTCATACTACAAACGTCCAATAAGAAATTAATATTAATTCAAGTCCTTCCAGGACAATATTTTTATTTAATTTAGCAAGTAAATAATAGATAAAATTAATATCAAAGTCTTCATCACAACGTTAATTTATACAAAATTATGCTTTAAACCACTACCAAGAAAAGGTTTTTAATCAAGATTTGTTTTTTGTGTATTGATGTCTCCAATTCCAATTACCTTCTTTGTTGCTTACCTTACTGAGCTTAAATAGTATGGATTTTATTATAATGCTAATTGTGTCTTCAACACCAACATTCCAAATACCACATCTCTCCACCAATTTTATTGTAAAAAAAAAAACACCTTTAAAAAATATGCTACATTTTGATTTTTATAGTCCCAACTACAATAGATTTACTAATAAGTGTAGATGCAACGATACCGAGATATTCAATCTAATCTTGGAAATCCACTATTATGCAATGGTAATATCATTCACGTGATGCTTGACTATAGGATGCTTGCATGTGTAATGAAGTGCTAGTGGAAGATGTTAACCTCTTCAATTCATCTCTTAGATCCTACTTGGGACTCATTTAATTTAGCAAGCAAATAATAGATAAAATTAATATCAAAGTCTTCATCACAAAATTAATTTAGACGAAATTATGCTTCACAACATTAATCATAAAAAACTTTATAATCAAAATACCATTTTTTTCCTTTATTTTTTTTAATACAAGTCTCTAATTCCAATTAGCTCCTTTGTTGCTCTATCTTCATGTGTTACTACCTCCTTGAACTCAAATTTTATAGATTTTATTATATTGCATGTTATGATGGATTTTATTATATTGCAAGTCAAGTGTCATGAACACCAACATCCCAAATACCACATCCCTCCACCAATTCTATTGTGAAAACACACCTACAAAAAATATGCTACATTTTGATTTTTATAGTCCCAACTACATTAGATTTATTAATAAATGCAGATGCAATGATTTCGATATATGCAATCTGATCATAGAAATTCAATAATATGCAGTGATCATATGATTCACGGGAGTGCACGTGTGATGCCTGAAAGAATGCATGAATTTTTTTTTATTTATTTTAACGTTCTTTAAATGACTTGAAAAGATACTACATGTGATGCTTGACTATATGATGCCTTAATGAGAAACCCGTGCAATTGGAAATATGGTGAGAATGAGACGGTAACACTGAAAAGTATATGGGTAATGTTGAATAGAATATCTTCCACTCTCCTGATTACATAGGTGTGCTATGTATATATATTGATAGACAACTGGAGCGCATCAGATTGTTATGGGGAGTACAGATGGGGACCATTTGCCCAAAAGAATGCTGAGAATTCTATTACAAGTGAGTGGGGATTGAGGTATTTTGTTAGCCCCACTCAGACTTGGGATTTTAACGGGTGAATCCTAAGTTTGTCTCTTAGTTTAATAAACTTGGAGATAGACACTCTTTGTGATGATGTCAGCCACTTGAGGTAAGTACTGGAATTGGATGTTCTTGGAAACGATGTGATCCCTGCTGATATGAAAATCAAACTGTGTTTGGAGCGCCTGAAAATCGGCTTAGTGGAGCCAATAGTGGAAGTATTGTCGCATAGTATTGGAGTTTTGTTTTTCCCAAAGCAGTATACCCAATTCTTCAAGGAGACGGCAGATCCAATTGAGTTCAGTCGTGCAGTCGATGATCTGATGACAGTTGTTTGCTTATGAATTCTCTAGAGAATTGGGCCGGAACAAAGCATACAGCAGTATCTTGTTATGGATCTCATTTGCTGCCCAATCTGCATCGAAAAAGACCATTAGTGTGAGATTTCCCTTGGTGATAACGTTGCCATGTTTGAGTGCTGATTTTTTATGCATGCAGAAGCATAAAAATTCTCACAACAACAATCAAACACAAGAGATTTACTCGGTTCGACATTAAATCGATTCGCGTACATGCACAGGGAGGGAAATTTCACGGGCACCGGATGGAGGAAAGTAAAATAGCTAGGGGTTGCAACTCAACCCTTCTCACATATAACTCTCTTAAGCCCTTAAGTAGCTAGGAGGACTAGTGCATTAAGTAAATAAAGTCTAAAAGCCAAATTACCTCTAATTAAAATAATATCATAAAACAACAATCTCCACATCATTTCTTACTTATTGAAGTAAGATATGACCAAATGAGCTCTAAACTTCAATTCAGTTGTACCAAGATGGTTACCTTCATACCACCCTCCCGAAGAGATCAACCCCTGCACTATTCTTTAAAATGCCCTCCTGGATAGTTAGTCCTGAGCTCGGATGTTCACCAAATTCCTACATTAGGTGTATTTAAGACTAGTAGTACCTTCGTGAGCATGTTCATTGGATTCTCCTTTGTATCTATCTTCTTCAACTGAATCTTGTCTTCTTCAATCAAGTCCTAAACAAAGTGGTATATCTCACATCAATGTGCGGATAGTCGGTCATGAGCTCAGATGTTCACCAAATTCTTACATTGGGTGTATTTAAGACTGGTGATACCTTCATTAGCATGTCCACTAGATTCTCCATTGTATCTATCTTCTTTAACTAAACTTTGTTTTCTTCAATGAAGTCTCAAACAAAGTGGTACCGCACATCAATGTACTTGGTATGAGCATGATGAATTGAATTTATGACCAATATTATTACACATCGACTATCCCATAACACCATCATAAACTCCTGATCAACTACCAAATCATTCAAAAGGCCATGAATCCATATTTCTCTTTCAGCGCCTCTATGATTGTCATGTACTCGACCTCCATAGTAGAAAAGCAACAGTAAACTGAAGAACTGACCCCCAACTGACCTGACCTCCTGACAATGTGAATAAATGGCTAGTCGTAGATCTCTGCTTATCTATATCACCTGCATAGTCTGAGTCAGTCTAGCATACGCACAAATTTGCACTCGATTATGCATTAATACTCTTAGCAGCCATTGTAGCATATCTATCTATATCACCGCATACTACCACTCAACATCAATTGTACCCTTCAGATACCTCATTATACTCTTGATGGTCTGTCAATAACTCCTTAATGG